GACGAAACGTTTCATTAGAGAAGAACCCGTCCAGAAGACCTATACAATTTTTTTCATTTTGATTTTTTTACCTGGATTACTGAGATGCATCAGGAGATTTTAATAGACTTTTTTTTTCTTAATGCTGACGTACACGCACAGATTTTTAGGACAAATCTCCAGGCAGAAGCAAGACCCAATAAATCCCCTCAAGGAAGACATGACAGGTGAAGCTACAGCATGTTTACCTTATCAATAATTACTCAGATACAGCAAGAATCATCAACACAGACCCCGCGTGTGACCGGGAGTCAGCGGCTCCGTGCCTGTTCTAAAAATAGCGCTAATCAGTAGTGTAACTACTAGCTAACGTAGCTAATGTAATGTCCCTCTACTTTTAAACAAGTAACCAGAGTTGTTTGTGAACTCAAAAGCACCATAAATCCAGACAGAACGAGCTGCTGTTAACCCATTGAGCACATCCCTCCCCCCTCTCTGTCACACACCATCGAGCTGCAGCAGAGACGCTTTCAGGACTATTAACCCTTTAGGGCCCAGATTTGACATGTGGTAAATAAATAATTTTCAGTGATTGAAAGGAAGGTTTTTTTTCAATAATTGCATTTTAACCGTTTTATTTTTTTTATCTAAAAGAGTTAAGAGTTCTTCTGAAGTGTTACAAAGACAATTTGTAGAAACAGGACATGATTTGAGGCTTTTACTGATAATATTTTCTTTTAGAAGTAATAAGAAGCAGTTTTATTTTGAATAGACATAAATGTGTTCATTCCTACAAAACTGTCAAATATATTTACAAAATACACTAAATTGATTCAGATTAGCGTAAAATAAACCATGTTTTATAATTAAATGTCTGTGTCAACCCCCCACCCAAAAAAATAATAATTTTAAAAAAGGAGAGCCCACCACGGTAAAAAAAAAATTCTAGGGGAAACCCTGCTATCTTTGTGTAAATGTGAAAAATTGCTGTTTCCTCCTCTTGCTTTCAATTGCAGGTTCATGTTGTAATGAATAATGATGATGAATGAGGTCAACTTTAAAAAAAAAACATGGCCCTGAATAGAAATGACAGAAAGAAGTAAACAGGTGTAAATGAGGTGAAAGCAATCAGGTGACACTGTTACGTAATGACACAATTATTGAACCATCTGACGCACATGATCACCCCATGCATTTAATGTTTTAGAACATGCTTTCATTAAAATAAATAAATAAATAAAATTTTAAAAAAACTTAAATCTGAGTTTGTTCATGCTGCGACTTCATTTCAACATTTTTACATGGTAAACCACAAACATTGACTGATTCATTTTTGATCTGCGTCAACTGAACTTTGAACTGGTTCTTATGAAAGAAAAACTCGATCAGCTGTTTTTATGGTAAATAGATCCAAAAATCAAACATATACCAGGAGATTTAAACAGAATTATGTGCAATCTATTGCACAGCAACTGATTACACAGGTGTCTGATTCTACTACGGAAAAGAATAATAAGAGTGAAAGAATGTAGGTGTGTTCATGGCTTCTAATTATAAATGTGATGTCTCTTAAATACTTTACGTACTTTAACTCTTGTAGTGTGGCCTAAAAAACACGAAAACATACTGAAGAAGCAGAAGAAAGCAACTGAATTACAAAAAACCAAAGTAAAACTTTCTGACCTGGTTTGCTTCCAGAAAGTCCCTGTATTTCATGAGAGCCAGAGGAATCGTCACCTTTGGGTACTCTGAGGCATTGGCAGATGGAGTGATCTGAAAAGAAGTAGAGTATTTTAACAATTAAACTTTGTTAAACAGAAAACTGTCTTATTAGGCTTTAAATGAAAGGAAAGATATGAAATCAAACAAATAAGTGATAAAGTGACAGGGAAATTATTACGATCACTTCTTCATTTCTGTCTCTTAAATGTCACACTGTTTTTACAGAGTATTCTGATAACGTATGAGCAATAAATGGAAATAAATGACCTGGTATCAGACAAATAATACCAATAGTAACATACGGTGGGGAAAATAAGTATTTAGTCAGTCACCAATTGTGCAAGTTCTCCCACTTAAAAAGATGTGTAGTGGTCACC